CAAAGAAAGTTTCATCTCTTAAAAATGCCTCACGACCTAGAAATCATACTGAAGCCAGGAAATTTATGGGACTTGCAAATTATTATCGAAGATTCATCCAAAATTTTGCCGAAAGGGCTAAGCCCATAACTGACCTTACTCGAAAAACTAAACCTTTCGTATGGACAGAGGAAGCGCAAATGGCATTTAATGATATCAAAAATGCCCTCTGTGAAGACTCTTTCTTAAAATATCCAGATTTTAACAGACCCTTCATCCTAGCTGTCAGCGCGTCAGACTCGGGAATATCCGGAATTCTCAGTCAAGCGACGACAGAGGGGGATGACGACTTAGAAGGAGACGGAGAGAAAATAGTGTCATGTGTCTCACGAGTCTTTCACGACACTGAAACCCGATACACTGATGTAGAAAAACAATGCCTCGCAGTAGTATACGCGATTCAACAGTTTCGACCGTATCTTCAAAAACATTTTACTTTAATAACTAGTAGCCCTTGTATCACCTGGTTAAGAGACAGCGTAACTGTCACCGAAAGACAAGCTAAATGGCGCTCTCAGTTAAGTAGATACAAATTTAACGTTGTAGTCCGGCATAAAATCACCGGACAATACGCGGAAGGACTCTCGTATAACCCGGAAGGACGCACCGAACCTTCAGAACATCCGGTAAACGATATCACCGAAAGTCAATCACTAGCATTACCAATCTCTCCTTTACAAAAATCAAAAGGGTCAAATAAAAAGCTCTCCGACGAAGAAGCGATTCAATCAGTCAAACGCCCTGGTCGCCCTCTCGGGTCAAAAAATAGGCCAAGAGTAAGTAGCGCTCCAGAAGTAAGAGAGACGATTGCCTCCCGTCTTAGAAAAAGAGAATTAGGTAAAACGCGAGTTCCACCAAAAATAAATTATTGCGAAACTGGCAGACTCGGTATAAACTCGGATGATCCTGAGATACAAGAAAATATAAATGAAAAACAGGGGGACGACGAAGTATTCCTACCAGTCTCCACTCCAGGACCATCCGCGAATAATACAACTCCAGACGTAGGCCAAGAGGGGGACGACGAAGCAGAGAAAGATGATGAAGCCGAAAAGGACAACGAAACGACCGTTCCACCGAAACAACGACGTAAAACTCGAGAATTAATAAAAATGTTCGATGAACTCCTCCAAAGACGACCACCGTCAGGCAATATCTATACCGAGAGAGCTTTAGAAAGAATCCGTAAGGAAGAAGCAATAGCTAATTATACTCCCCAGGAGTATGCCGAATTAAAACGTACTAGCTCCGAAACCGCGAAAAAAATTCGCCAATCATTAAACAAACTTCCACCTCTCTGGCGAAGTGAAGAAGACTCGTTAAATGAAGATACAATACCAGAAATTAATGTCGACGAATTTCTGAGAGATAACAGCGACCAGTCAGAGGAAGGATCAAGCAGCAATATCAGTCCAGAAGAAAACGAAGGAATCGAGGATTCCAGCGAAACGGAGCCTCCTATCATCATAGAACCAGATCCCTCAACTTCTTTCGACAACATAGATACGAGAAATAAAAATAATTTAACACCCCAAAATATAAATCGATCGCGATTCACGGGATATTTAGGAGACGGACCAGAACCTCGAACTCCGATATTCGGAAGAGTTCTCATCCCCGACAATCTAGCGGCCATGGGTATACGATACGACCACGCGAGTGGCCAAATCGTGGACCAAAACGGTAATGGAATAAATGAATCAACCGAAATCGAACCAGCCGATCCCAATAACACCCTTATTGATCCGGAGCGGGATAAATCGAATGAAAAATCTTCAAATTTACCGAAATTAATAAATTCACAAAATAATAATCATAAAAATAAATCGCGCAGTAGTTCAGAAAAATCTAGCGATCCAGATAAATCCAGCGATAGACTAACTACATGCGGGAACATTATAGTGGGGGATGACGTAGGGAACCGTCGATTCAGCCCACCCTTTGTCGCCTACGATC